ATTTCGAATGAATACGAGTCGTATCTGTTCAGCACGTTGGTTAACAACAACTGTACATGTGTATCTTAGCTCATAGTCATTGGTGTGTTTCTATCCTGAGTATTTTTTCGAATGGTACATGGTGTTGATAGGTTAGGTTTGTTACCGACTGCCAGAGGTGCATGCTTTTTGATTGCTGGCATCCACGTTCCTTGAATCCGCTTTCTCAGTTGATGTTATCTGGATCAAGTCTTGAGTGGATGAATTCTTTAGTGGCACGAGTTTCCAGTGAGGTCCATGATCGACACTCATAACCTGGTTCTTAATACACCAAAGGTACTTTCTCGTCATAATCATTTCGCACTTGCAAGGATAATTTGAAACACTCACACCAAAGGTACTCTCTCGTCATAATCATTTCGCACTCGCAAGGATAATTTGACCTTTAAAACTCTTTTTCAAAGGATTGCAAAATAAAGAAATTCCCGATAGCATTATGGAAAATGGAAAAGCGTTCCCTTTGTTATGAAATCGACACATGGGTGAAAACTTTAAAACAAAGAAGAAACAAAAGCACACCAAATTCATTGTTTAACCATCTACCTCCTAAAATTTACAATAAACACTTCGAGGCACTTTTATAAGTTGGTTAAGGTTATTTTGATAATGATCAGCACTTATAATCGTGTCTTAGATGGGCAGATTTCTTTTTTCTTCCCTAAAAGGTATTTTATTTTGCTCAATAATTTATTGAATTTGTATGTTTGCTCATTAAACATCAGGTAAGGCCTTGTGAATCAGAAACTGGAGTCCTGTTTGGTTTTTTCGAGCTAAGAAGAGGAAAGAGAGCAGACAAAATACTGTTTATCAAAAATGCAACAATCAGAGGCCGATACAAACATTGCAAAGACGCAAAGAATGCCTATTGCTCACCAAAAATGTACTTCCCATTTAACTTAGAAAGAGATGCACTTGTAAGTTACCATGAACGCAAAACGATATTCAATAGCATGATCTAGTTAGTATACCATTAGCATAATGTGGGTGGCAAACTAAACCTCACACGTATCGTGCTGTTCAATGTTTCTTCTTTGTTTCAAAAAATCTCCCCTGATGCTCATATTTCGACACATAGGAAGTTGTCTCCTTCTTCCTGTTATTTCGTGTCACAATTTGCGACCAGTTTTCTTTGAAAATAAAACATGGTTAAATAAGTCACAGATCTCTGCAGGCCCACGATAAGACTGTGTTGTAGTAAACACTCCTTTAAGCGTCTTCGGGGAGGAAAGCCCTCTAACACTCGATAAAACCAAAACAGAGGATAATTTAAATGTAATAACGAAACTTTGCCGTGAAAAGGGCAATAAAAAAAAACTAGAGCTCGGTACCTGTAAACGGTCCACAGCGATCGCAGCAGTCATTTGAAAATGCAACACACAGGCGACTCAGTGATTGCGGCATTCGTTTAGTTTATTAGAGAAAGCATTGTATTTCGTCATGTTTGCTTGTTTGTTTGTTTGTTTGTTTGTTTTTTTCCCATAGACAAGAGAACCTTTATCGTTTGTCTCACGATGTAAGAGTGGGGCTAATCAATCGTGTAAAGCTCTTAAAAACTTAAAAATAATGTGTAAACTTCGCTTAACTGGAATCTTTACCACGGTACTATATTTTTTTCCAAACGAAAAATTCATGAATAATATATCAATTGTTGTCAAAATTATCATTTTAACTTCTTCTGAAATAAGATCAGCGATAGGTCATATGGCTGCCATGGCTACCGTGAGTTTTGGAATGGCTTCTTTTAACCGGCTTTGGTATCAAAAATACCTCACTTGTTTGATTTCAATTGATTATTCGATTGATCCCTTTCAAGTATAATGTAATTAAGAAGTTACAAATGAATGCTGTCATCTACTTATGATTTGAAATTCACATGAAATGAACACTGAATGCGGCACCGGTGCACCATTTCCACCAGCTTTGCTATCAATCCAGACGGGATCTGGCCTTTTTTTTTCTGAATCGGTGATACGCTTCCTAACGATATGTCAACGGCATGTATTTTAGCTGTAGACTAATCATTTAAAATAAGATCATCGCAGTTAGACACATAGCTTAGGTAGCTGTGAAAACGAAGCCGGATTTGTTTAATGAAAACTACTGTCTCTTGGCAACTTATGCAATGAGCCGGAATACTTGTTAAATTGGGTATTTTTTCTTCCTTAATAAAAAAGAGTGCATTGTTTTGTAAACAATTCACTGTGGGAGATCAGATGTTATTGCAAGGTCACTGGAAAAAAAAAAAAGAATAATTGTTATGATCCTTTTGAATTGCGCTTTGAATATTCCACAATTATTCACCAAGTGTGGTTGTCGAAATTTCAGTCTGCTTTCAATATCTGAGAACATTGCGTAGAGCATGTCTCTAACACCGAGTGGAAAAGTCCTTCACTCATAAAATACTAAACATCTCTGTGAACAATGACCTCATGTGGCTCTGTGATATAGTTCAGTTTTTCACCTGCTAGCAAACTTAATCCATAGTTTCACTGCTGACGGAAATTATGTTATGATTTTCGAGTGCCCTACTGTTTTCAATTATTTCATGGTTTTATTAAAAGCGGGCTGGTCAAGAGTATGGATTTAGTAATAACCGTGAAGTTCAAAGTTAATTGCTGAATTGTTTTCTTCCCTATAAGACGTAAAGGACCTTGAAACAATGTCTTTAATAGAAAGGACCTTTCTTGAAAATCTTCTATGGTTAGTTTTTAATTATTAGAAAAGCGTTGTTTACAAACCGTTTAGAGAGCACCAAATCTTAATTTAATCACCTTCGTACCGTTGTATGGAGAAGTCGAAATTCCCGCTTGAAATACACGTTTTCTGTCGCTGTAGTAAACTTAGAGTCAAGTTAGAATCACTTATGCCACATTCTGTTGATTTAGAAACTCAATGCAACGTCAATGAGCGACAGTATGGTGAGTGCATAGATTTTGGCACGCCACTAATAATTAAACATCCAATGACGAGCGCTGAGTATTTAAATAACCACTCTGTCTCCCATCTGTAATTAATAACGGAAAACAGTTTGGGTTGTTGCGCGATTCAGCAGCATTAAATACATTCATCGTCCGTAGCTAAGGCCATTCTAGTCATACATATCCCCTGAGAAGTATTTAAGCCGACTCGGGGAGAATGAGTGAATTTGAAAGTAGAGAAGAATGTTGTGGTTGACGACGAGGACCCATCAGTTCGATAGCAGGAATTAGCGGTTAGTTGTATCGGTTACTGTTATCTTAAGATTGCTTGAGGCCTATCCAACGGAAAACATTTCCCTTGCCCTTTATATTTTTGCTTGCTTTATCACTTTCGACAATTTTGAGCAATGCTCAATTGAGCGTTCAAGTTGCCGCCGTTACAGTTACAGAATTGAATAACTCGTGTTCCCTCAAGTAAATATACATAAACAGTGTATACAAATTGAATGAAATTATGCCAAATTAGGGCAAGTATATAGCTGAACGTATTGACATTTCGAATTTCCTTGTTTATAATGAAATTTGCCCAAGTTTCATGAGATGGGATGGAAGTAAAGTAAGACAAAGTCTTGCCATGTCACCATAATACATATCTAAGAAAAATAAATGCATCAAATTACTGAGGACAAGTCGCAAGCAGGTGCTGCCCGTTGAAATTTGGCGCCAATAGGAGATTGCCTTGATGTCTAAATGTCACTGTATTTTCTGTTTCGTGATGCTGGTAAACCTCAAACAAGATTATCACCTAAATATTTGGAAAAAAACAATTTGAGCAAGTCGACTTTTTCGTAAACAACGGCAGACGTTTTGAAATAAAAAGTCGTCAACACAGCGGTGAAGCTGAAAATTGAATCGAATTTACATAAACGTGAGTCTCTTCTAATTACCTTTTGGAATCAATTTTCTCAATCTTTCGAATTTGCTCCTCGCAATGAAAGAATTTAAAAGTATAAATTTTTAGAGAATTTACTGATCGAAAGAGCTTTTTCTTCATCAGAGGATTCTTGAACTTTGCAAACTTACTGTAGGGGAAATGCATCACGACCGCGTAGTCGCGGGTTGCTAGACACCTCCTGATATAGCATATTTTCCCGTTACAAACCGGAGGTTTAACAGCTTTTATCATGGAAAACGCTCTAAAGAGTTACCTCATTAAGACAAATGCATATGGAGTTTAAAACTTCATCAGATCGATGTCTGTCCAAGCAAAAGTAATGTTTTGTCTACTCTCAAAGGATTGCCAATTAATAAGCTGAAACCTGATTGAAAATTTGAAAGGAAGATTGAATTTAAGGTGTTAAATAAAGATGTGATTTTACGTAAAAAATCTTCAATTACCTTTAAACTTCTTTAATTCTTGAAAAGAAGAACTCGCTTACAAACCGTTATCATCCTATGATCACTTGTTCGTAATAATGCACTCTTTGACAGCCGAGAAACCCTGTTTTTCTAAGATCATCGAGTAGATGAACCGTTTCTGATTTCAGAAAGAAATATTATACACTCTATTTGTAATTAAAAGTCAGAATTAAGACACATTGGCAGTCCTGAACTAATAAATAATAAAAGAAAACCAGCCTAATTCACTTTTGTTTTCTCCATTACATAGAAAGTAAAACTCCGACAAGAACGATGAAAATAAAGGAAAACTATATATTTTTGCACGAAATTTAACAAAATTTGCATGTAACTTATAGAAACACAGGTAATGGGGGCTTTAGGGACTGAGCGCGATATTTGATTGTTGATTAAAAAACAAATGAATTTTTAAGGCAATAGAATCGTCTCCAGACGAGAAAAAAACAAAACAAAAATGATAATTATCTCCCGCAAAATTAGAAGAAGTACACCAACACAAAGTTCATCTTGATTAAATATCTAATACAAAACCCTTCGAAAAAGAAATAATAATCTAAAACTTTGTACTTTCGGCAAATCCCATGGGATAATTGAATTAAGTAAATGCATGTTCGTTTTAGCATCTTGAGTCACAGTTGACGAAGTACTCTACATAGAAACGTCTTTTTGGCCGTTTAATATATGGTATTAGTAATATTCCCGAGCCATGGCACAAGAGAACGTCTGTGTAATATTCTGTAACACTGTTCGCTTGAAAGGGAAAGAACGTGGTTAATACGTGAGGCCGATTTTGGATTATTCCTGATCTTAAATCAGTCTGTCGCTACGTTTTTTTTATCGCCGCTGAATGATTTGTTTGTGTAGTAAGCTCTATGTAGTAACCTGTTGCGTAATGCCACCATGTAAGGGCACTTAAGAACCGCTGATATATAGGAAACGTCCAAGGTAGGGATGGTTCTTTTGCAATAACATGTCACTTATGCTACCAAAACATGTCAGTGCATGAAATAGTAGCTGTTGTGCAGAAGATATTTCATACATTAGAGTTTGTGGGTGATATAGTGAATCTTACCACACGTAAAACTACTGTTGTTCAGGCAATGTTCGAGATGACAATTTTTACATTACGCGGTGTTCCAGGTTACAACACTAACAAATTCACTCTTTTCATTCTCCTAGAGGCTTTAGAAGGAAAGGCAGCGATGTCATATTTGCATTTTGTTGGATTTCTCTCATTTTTACGACTGTCAGGTCTATTCAGGTAATAACATGAAAATCTTCCTACGTATACTAAGAGAAATTCACTTCCATATTTTGCCTTAGCTTTGGAAAGTTTGTTTTTCAAGTTTGAACTATCGCTAACAACCAGTTAATAAACAATGGGTGATTGGTGATTGTATTTAAGGGAAATGTGAATTGACCTGGTTTGATGCGATAAATGTCAGTTACAAAGTTCATAATTACATATATTGCTCTAACTATATTCAACCTATGTTGGTGTTTTGACGGCACTAATGATGGGTGCATAAACTCTCGACCGTTCTATAATTTATTACAGTATCATTCAGATAATAGTAAATCATGATACAAATGCTAGTTTTAAAACAAACTGCTAGTTTTAAAACAAACTCAAGGTTCTATAAAGGCAGCCATATATTCAGAAACTTCTGCCACTAAACCGCTTAACCGTTAAATTAAATCGTTCATAAACCCGATAATTTGCATAGGAAATACAAAGAGACTTCTCAGCCCATTCAAATGAGTTTTACACCTTTTGTTTTCTATATTAATTGTGTTTCTATGGGACCAAGTTGTCGTTATTTTCAATGGAGCAAGTGTTAAATCGGCTGTTGTTGGGTGGTTGTCATGTATAAGTTCAAATTTGCATTCATGTCCAGGGAGAGAGAACTTTAGGATCAGTTTTTATCAATTTCTTTAGAGTTCCTATGCCATTAACATTGTAGACTAGACGAATACAAACTTATCCTACACACCTAACTCTTTCGAAAAGCCAACATACAGGTAATTCTTTAAAGTGATTCTTTCTCGCCATTTAAAGCAAAACTAATAAGGCCAACAAAAGAAACGTGGCAAAGAAGGGAGAAGTTTGGCATGTTTTTCTCTAAACTTAATTGATTTTTTTTTTAGCCATGGCTTGGTGATAAGGAATACCTCTAGTGCTGACGAGAGCTCTACCTCTACAAGTAAACAGCCACTTACTAAGATAGGGAATCCTTTCGAGTCTATGCTCACCACAACGTAAGTTTTTAAAAAAGAGAGCACCTCAATTTCAAGGGGTGCCATTATTTCAAATAGCTGTGATCAGACGAATTAGATTTTCTCGACAAAGGAGAAGAATGGGCTTGAAAAACAAAACAAAACAAAACAAAACAAAAAAAAAACAAAAAAAGATAGCATGTCACCTTAAAGTTGTATTTTTGTTGAAGTTCTATTTTTGTGTATCAAAAACCACTGCCTTTTCAATTCCTTCTCGTAATTCAAGTAGATTTATTGGCGATTCCTCAAAGACCAACCTAGAAATGAGGTCGCTTTTCTCAATTTTATTTCAGGGAGTCAACTATAGACTTGGCAACGCGAAAACATAATAGGAGTGAAGAAATAAAGCCAGCGAACACACCGCCATGGTAGGTACTTTCTTTCATGTAGCCGGCTACAGAATTACAAGGGAATCAATTTTCGGGCAATTGTCTCTGATTTTAAAATAATCTCTATAGTCCCAAGGGTGTCCTCGGAAGATACATGACGTGCATTCATTCTGCTCATGGTAACAAGCTGAACTTATGTGCACTTATAAGCTCCTTACTGGGTTCAAAAGTATTGTTTTGATGTTTTTGTGAGGATTGAATTGACTAAGAGCAAATCTTGAAGTCGTTTCGACAAAATTTTCTTTTCCTCACAGGGAATACCAACTGAAGTATGAGGAGTTAGTGATACCGGGAAGAAACGTTTCTGATATTCTTGAAATTGTATTTAAGAACTATGACAAAAGGATTCGTCCATTTTATGGAGGTAAATATGCTCTTTAGATAAAAATGTTACTTTGTCGCGTTCATTTATTCAATGCATGGCTGGCTCCTCAAGCAAGCAGAATAATTCGTTTTCTGTGTTCTTATTAACTATAGGAGTGCGTTAGATGGACCTGTCTAACGCCGCCCAGGTTTGCCTGCTTAGCTCCCGAAGTCGGCTTTTGTCTGTATCTGTAATCTCTTAAAACAAAGACAATCATTTGCTTCATAAATGTTTTGCAAAGAAAGGGATTGTCCAGAATTTAACAAACTTGAACCCGTTCGAGGTGAAAAACGCATCTATATCCCTCATTTGCCATCTTAGTTTCTGAAAAAATTATTTTACAACCTTATTTTATGTTTTCCCCTGTATATGATTTATGCTGTGTTTTCTTTCAGTACAAACACTCCACGTCGATTTGGACATGTTAATTCTGTCATTTGGAGAGATTAGTGAAACTAGCATGGTATGTGGCACCTACATTCGCCTAATTTAAAGAAAACCTTAATCTAAACTTCCGTTACCTTTAAAGTGAACAAAAGGAAGAAAAATTAGTTTCGAAGAAAATACGTCCATTTTGCCTTATTTTTGGTGCTACCCCTTTATTTAAAGTGCATATGCAATTTTCCTGTTCCTCTCTAAACAGCCGATTACTATTCATGATTATATCATATTATTTGCTCAGTGCTCTTTACTATCCTGCAGGATTTTGAGGTGGACTTATACCTTGGCCAGTTTTGGCAAGATCCACGATTAGCTTTCGGCATCAACAGAACAATTATCCTTGGGGGAATAGCATGCGAAAAGTTTTGGTTACCTGACACCTTTTTCGTCAATTCCATCGACACAAGAATACACAGGATGGTTTTCGCCAACAAGAAAATATGGATAAATCTAATTAACGGAAGCATGATGTTAAGTGCAAGGTAGTTTCAATTACATCACAACAAAAAACAAACACACATACAAACAAAAAAAACAAACAAGAAAAGACAACAAACAAAAAAACTTACAATTATAGCGAATTAGAAACAGTCACCACAAATAAAGCCCTTTGCTCTGCTTGGACACAGAATTTTCAGTGTTCTTTCGATGCTTTCATTAATCGAATATAAGCTGTTTGAAGTTTGTTTTCTATCTACAATCTTTACACAACAGGTTAGTAACAAAAAATTCGTGCAAGTTGGATCTTAGGAACTACCCACTGGATGAACAGACTTGTCACCTAGCCTTTGAAAGTTGTAAGTATTCACAAGAAAAAAACTTTCATATTGGGATGAGGACACGCCAGGGAGAATCTCTTATTATCCCTAAAACGTTTTTGCCCACTGTTTTGAACTAATCTGACACGGCTAAACTAAGTGTATGGGTTCATACCAGTTTGTCAATATTTCTCCCTTTTCCTGCGACACTTTGAGTTGACATTTACTGTTGTTACTATCATTTCGATATGGCAGTTTCGTACGAGGAAAAAGACTTGAAATACAAGTGGCGGTCTCCGGTGGAGAGTACGATCTTCATTTATGACAATGAAATGGCGCAGTTCGATATTGTGAGCGCCACGAGATATCTAAAACATGCAGTGTATCACTCTGGTAAGGAAAGGCTAAGCTATCACTAAAAGAAATATACTGCAAAGACTCTCACACAAAACATCCTAATTTGAAGCACAATAATAAAATTTTGCTTAACACATATGAAACTTAATGGTTTGGGAGGTGAAAACTGTTCAGTCTGCAAAAGTGTCGAGTTATTTTAAATGTTAAACAGTAAGATGGCATGATATCACTTTGAAATGAAGCGAGATGTATCATGAAGAACACAAATCGCAAAATTACAAAGGAGAAGCGAGGATGGCAATAGAGTGTTGGCGATAATTTTGCCAACGGCTGTTTCAATATATCTTCAGGCCAATGTGCCAATTATTTTGTTGCGCACTATAGAAACAAAACATTGATATCTAGCAGACGGCTAACGATGTGACATTGTGTACTTATCAATCCATTCATGAACTGAAAATAACCAGTTACTACTGTATAATTCCTAAACAATAGTTTTCCTTCAACAAGGAACCAACCAGAATTTTCTCTTTTCATTATGTTTCAGACATGTTCTCTGGTTTAACAGCGACTATGATATTTCGTCGACGATCTATGTACTACATTTTTCAAATGTATATTCCTTGCGTATGTGTTGTAGCTCTCTCTTGGGTCAGCTTCTGGATAAATCACGAGGCCGTTCCCGCCCGCGTGGCACTCAGTATAACCACTGTATTGACTATAAGCTACATGCGTGGAAACGTCAACGCAGGGATGCCACGTGTTTCTTACTTAAAGTCTATCGACTACTTCTTACTTGGAGGATTTGTGTTTATCTTTATGACTTTGTTAGAGTATGTTCTTGTTCTGAAGCAATCTCGCAAAATACACGCGATGAATAACAGTAAGAAGGATGATTGCGAGTTAAGCCAGGATAAAGAAAATCTGGTAAGTTCACGGCCAGTTGCAACAGCAGTACACGTAAGACGCGCCCTTCTTACTTCTATCCCTCGATTCTTATAGCCGTTTTCTTTTTTCCTTCGTTTGTGCTATAGAACAATCTCTCTCTAATTACGTTACTTTAAAAGCACATTTGAGTTTTTTTCATGTGAAGTCACTCAACAAAGCTGAACATCTCGAAGTCAATAATAAGTAATGCTCACCGAAATCATTTTTGAGCTGTACGCACCTTGTGGGACAGTTGAAGGATTGCTCTGTAGGGTTATGTTGTCCTGCTATCACATATATTTTAGAGATAACTACTCAACTATATTCAAATATTTACCGAATATAGAGTGTTAACCTACCATCATTCGATGTAAGGTAGCGGTACTGTTTCACCTCATGTCTTTAAACTCCTGTTTCGTAGGACCGACGACCTCTTCTTGTAACTGTCGCATTCGACGGCAAAAGCTACAAGTTTAGACATTCTTTGGAAAACATGGAAAATGGCTTACACTCTTCTTACCCAAAAAGGAAAAGCTCCGTGCACGATCGCACACGAAAGCAGAACCTGGCAACACGCTTAAAACCCTTCTTTGTCAAGAAAGGAGTTAAAGAGAACGAAGGAGTCATACACAGAGTAAAACGCAAATTTAGGTCAGAACAAGGAGTTCACTACTTAGATCAGTATTCAAGAATTCTGTTTCCATTGGGATATGCTGCCTTTTTGACCACCTACTTCGTTATCTACATGGTGAAAAAGTAACAGTGCCTGGATGGGATGATTAATTGCACTTTGGACCTACAAAGCAAGAACAGAAAATAGTCCTATCCATTAAGTAGACGTTGGGAAGTGGTGTTAAGAGCATATACCTTGTTTGAAAGAACCCAAGTCAAATTAATTCATGCTGTCGCTTGCTTTATGACGTGTTCTCAAATGGCCAGATTCGCCGCCGTTGCTGCTCCTTTGTATGACCGTAAACCAGTTGTAAAAAGGGAGATTTATTATTAAAATTCAAGGATGATGAGAAAAGACAGCTTTGGTCTATCTGATCGAAAGCCACACTACCTCGCGCGTGGTAAATTGTATCGTAGTATTGTTATCGCATCAATAGGAATTTAAATTAACGATGAGCATAACGTGTTACTTTCTACTGTTGTAAGGCGTTCCCTAATACTTGTTTGAATTATTTTTTGGAGATGCAGTAGTCAGATTAAGAATCAAAAGTTGTTGTTCAGTACAATTTTACTTGGATAAAAAGGTAAATTTCCATGTTTCTTTCATTATTCTTTTTTTTTTTATATTATATAGATATATATGTGATATCTGTGACATATCGAGTGCTTGATAAGGTCATACCTCTCTGGCAAAACGATGTGAGAACTACAACTATGATGGAAAAAAAAGATTTCAGTATAGTGATATTATACAAAATTTGAAAAACGATTATATCAAATTTGAAAAGTGTAATGAATATAAGAAATTGGGAAAACTACAAAAAGGAAAACGAGAAGAGAAAAACATCTTGCAAGACCATAAGCCAATTTATACTTGATATTGTGCGTCTGGTGTAGTGAACCACCTGGAGTGGAAGTGTTCTCAGTGTCATTTATGCTTTGATCTATAAGTATCCTGGCCTATCTGCCAAAAGTTAGAGAAACCTTAAAGTACCACATGCTTAGTTCATGTATGCTACAGTAAGTTCAATTTACGGGTTACAATAAAATAAATCAATTTATTCCCCTATATATGGAAGCATCAACTTAGACGCGTCTGTTAGTTCTTATAATCCCCCAAATTATCTGCGAGCCATATTGAATAAAAATGGCGCGTAAAAGCGAGCTTGAGAACAATGAGGTTACAATTCGGTAAAACAATCAATGTAATCATATTGAGCAAAATGCAAAGAGGGGAAAGGGGAGGGGAGCAGGCGGGGGAGGGGAGCAGGCGAGAGAACTGGATATTATTCAACTGAAATAATCAAACCCTTCTTCAATCCATTGAAGACACCGTACGATTAATTAGCTAAGATAGTGTGCCCAGCCAATACTGATCATTTATTAAATCAAAGCAAGAGACGATGAATTGTTTTGGTAATTCTTTGTCAAAAAAACATCAGTGTGAACTTAGTGCGACTAGAAGCTGAGGAAATGAAATTTCGGTCTTGAAGCAAACGTCATACAAAAAGGGTTATTTGTGATAGGATCATCTCACTACTGACCAGTTAGCTAAGTTCGATTTTCAGAAAATTACCTCTTTTTTTAGAGGTTTCATCCTAGAAATGGATAGCTGAGTGTTATCATTCTGTTAGAAAACAATTTTATGGAACGGAGGGTCTTCGACTTCTTCAGGCGGATAACTAACAAAAGAGGAGAACTTCTGAAAGTTTACGTCAGATGCCAGTAAATAAGTAATTTCTGGTGAGGCACATAACATCCAAGCGTTTCATTGATCACGGCTCATTAACATTCAAAATCGTTAATACAACTGCGTTTAAAAATTCATAAGCACCTGTCATTCACAACTTGACTTGAGTAATGAAAAGTCATTGCATGATTGTAATTTTTACGAATTCAGTGTTAAGACTTATACAAAAAAATACTCTCAAAAACCTGAGAGTTTCAGAGTCTTGATCAACCGTTTTTTGGTAATGAAATATACGCAGTGTATTACGCAAAGTCTTGGCAAATTATGAGTAAGAGCAAATTTTGTTGTTTCTGAACCGTCACAGAGGTCAAATAGCGTGAGTCGGGAGACAAATGGAGCCCTGCTGTGGCATCCGGGGATTTCACTAGGCAAAAATCAGGCAGAAACTCAAATCGTTTGACACAAAATTCAAGCCGAGATGCGATAATTCGTTTACGTCGCTTGAATATTACAGTCAAGGTTATCCAGTGAACGAATACGGCTAGGATTTTCCTTCGCTCATTCAAAGGTAAATGTTATTCAAGGGTTGTATTAGTTATTAAGACAAGAAAATATATAGGTAGTTCCACGTACTACGGTTCGTCGAGATCGCACCAAAGTATAATCTCTCATCTAAGTCGATGACGAAAAGGATTAAATATTAAATCTGGGGGAAACGATTCACTTGGTGCAGAGACAATCTAACGCCCGTTGGCAGTTTTGCGGTACTTTCGCCCGAATATGTTTTCATTGAAGACTTAATTCAAATAATTAGAAGTTATATAATTATGCAGAGACGCTTTGAGTCAATGTTTTAGCTGTATTTTTAAATTATTCCAAGGTGAATAGATTGTCGTATTTTATCTACAGGATTTGATGATTTTCATTAGAGGCTATATTCTAAGAGGAAATCTGCAATTATGAAAAATACGCTATTCATGATATGGTAGAAATGTGAGAAATTTTATAAAATTCGTCATTGTCAAATGCTACTGCCACGAAAGAATGATAAACAAAATTTAGTCAAGGAGCCCCAACCAGATGACTTAGAATTCACGCCAGCGCTATCCCAGAACATTGTTAGCTAAACAACAACGAAAAAAGCAATTGAGAATTTCAATCTTGGAAAGTAAGATGGGCGCATAGGTCTAATTCTGTGTTCATAGACTGTAGTGAAGCCTAAAAACTAAACTCAACACAGTACAACAATTTGAAATAAGGTGAAAAATGATGAACTATGAAACAAAACAGCTCTTGTTATTTAGGATTTTGCCTAAGATTGCCAGCTAGGTATTAAACTGCAGGAGTTTTCAAACGCAGCGATAGATAATGAAAGAGTGACATACATTATTTAACCTAGTAGTTTTCAAGTGAGTTTGTTTGCTTCATTTTTTCCCCTAGAAGTCAAAACCTGCTCCTTGTGTTATACAAGATCGCATAATGAATGTTTGACTTCAGCATATTTCGTTAGAAAGCTAGGTCAAGGTAAACGTCGGGTTCCTTTCGGAAGATAAAAACACGCTTTTAATTTTTTATGCCCATTGATACCAGATTTGAATATCCTACTCATTGTATAACAATGAGTGATTGAAGTGCAATAGAACTTCGTGGAATTACTAAGACACTAATGATAAATATCTACAGAAAATAGCTGTACAAATACTTTTGTAACATTATTGTGTATGTGCATGTTTTGATGAGGCACTAAAAAACATCACGTTCTCCGTAGATTTCATTCAATCATGTACGTGTTTATTGCAGTGTATGAGACGGCCATCCAAATGCTCAAGTTGGAAATTTTTCAAGATCCAGCACTTTGAGTCCTTGAGAATAGGGAAATAATTAGAAACTCTAAAGTTCGGATATACAGGCATGTATCTCACATTATTTTACCCTGAAACGATGTCTTCACTTGTGATTTTTTAATTCTTAAATTCTTTTGAAAGCGAGAACTGACAAATGTTCCCCAGAAACTCCTTTCTTTTGCAAGTTAATTTGAGTTGACACTAAACATTATAGCATTTGGCATATGCCATCCAACGGGCTGCAATTATGACAAGAGTGAGTGATTTAATTACACAGACCACCTATACACGATTAGTTAGTTCCCTCGTTCCCCTTTTTGAAAAAAAGAGCCGAAAAGGTGGGCATCACTCGATCATGTAAACTACCTTCGCTATAAAAGCCGCATGCCATAATGTAAACTCATGCGTAACAAAGTCCATTTTCTGATCGTCCCAGTTGGTGACGAATTGATTCTGGTATGACATAACAAGGATTCCTACAATTCCTTACTATGGCAATTATTGTGACGGGCGTGCACAGAAAGCTGTGCAGTTCCCACGAACAAAGCCTAAAACCGTGTTTCTGTCTTTTCAACATGAGCGTCACCACTGAAGGTAGTATACCTAGGCATTTATTGGTTTCAGAGACTGCTGCATCATCTTGAGTAAGGTAGAGAGACATGCTAAGGAAAACAGACACACCTTTTTAGGTGTTCAAGGCATCACCATGCGGTATCAACTGGACTCATCGAAAAGCATCTCTAGTTTCCTCTACCTTTGCAAATGCTTCCTCGATGGATTTAATAAATACTAATCAAACGTTCGTCCAAAACCCTATTTCCAGACCTGAGCGAGAAAATGGGATCCGGAAGAATACTTGCACTGACCTTACTGCTCGTCGACTGTATCGCTACAAACGTGTTGTGAGTATTTTAAATATTTAAATCGGTATGTGTGATGCGAACAAATACGACAAAAGAAGATATCCATCTCTAAAATTATCTTATGGAACAATAAACTTAAGCTTATCATTCTCGAAATGTATCCATGGAATTTTACTTCAAACATTTTCATAGGGAAATCTGTTTTCTTTCAGTCTTGTTTGTGGTTATTTACGAACACTAAAAAAAGCTTAAAATAATAGAAGGAGTGATAAAATCACTTAAGATCAGTATTATTTATCAGATTTATATACCATTCTTCCCCGAAAAATTTCTTAGAAATCACCAATAAAAATTACTCTGTAACAACTAAACATTACAGATTTCATTTGAAAATAAGTGTAACTGACTTACATGTTACAAACTCTGTGGCTGTCCTTGTGATAATCAGTCTCATTTCATTTTCTTTCCTGCAAAGGTAATAACCAAGTAATCTTTAGCAAAGGTTAACTTCCACTTTTAATTTCTTAATACAAAACAAGGGACAAGCTCTCAGTAGTAAAAAACAGGACGCTTATACAGCCAGGAAGAAACATGTCTGAATTAATCAATTTGATATTGAGGAACTATGATCGCAATATGCGGCCTTTTTATGGAGGTAAGCGTTCTTTCCGATTCAGTATGTAAACATGTGTCCAGTCTCAGTTCAGAGATTCAAATACAATCGAAAAGATGTAAATAGCATAGACGATTTTATCCATTCTTAGTTAAGTAACTGACCGCCACTCACCTTATCCACCCATTTACAATTATCCACCTACCTATTTACCCACCAATCTACCTATCTACCGACTTGCCCGGCCACTAACCTCGCCTTGCACCTCACCACGTCCCTCCTCACCTAACTACTACAACCTAACGAAACCACGAGCTCACCTACCAACCTATTTGGCATGATGCTTGATATGCAACTCTTGCACCATGAAGGCACCGTGAGGCATTTATGATTTAGGGTTATTCCCCTGATTAGTGGCACGGCAGGTACGATTAGGAGCGTTGTTGCAACGCTGGTTGCCCATTAAGACTTTCATTGGTGTCCAATGTTGATACGCCAAAGGACTACAACAGTTCCTGCCTTCATTATAGTGACAGGTGTTGATGTTAAAGTGGACATTCTCATCTTATCGTTTGGGGAAATTCGGGAGGCAAATATGGTGAGTCAGCTGGTAAACTAGTGTGGAAGGTTCATGCCAAAAATAAACGTAACAAGTTACAAAAGAAAACGCGCAAAATTTAGGTTAAATAGGAAGGGTCCAAACACCAAATTAAAAGTTATTTCAAGCCTTCAAAAAGGCAGAAGAATTCTTAAAAATATAATTTACGGTTGAGCAAAATTAAATTTCCAACGTTTCATTAACCTTGGTTAACAACGAAGCAACCACACTACACTCGATTCGAACACAGTCTGAGCATATGAATCAATGACATTTGATTTTTCCTTGTCTTTTAGGAGTTTAGCATGGATCTATACCTAGGCTTGTTCTGGCAGGATCCGAGACTTGATTTAGGTCTCAACCGATCTCTAACTCTTGGTGGTGACTTTGCTGATAAATTCTGGATTCCAGACACTTTCTTCGTAAATTCAGTTCAAACCAGTGTCCACGAGACTATCCTTCCAAACAAGAAAGTTTGGGTAAACCTGAATGGAGGTCATATGATGCTGAGTGCTCGGTGTGATACCTTTTTAAACTTTTTGTGTTCTGATATCTGTATACGTTGGCCTTAGCCTATTTAAAGTGAAGACCGGAGCGAGGCATCACTTCAAACGAGACTTTGGGGGCTCCAGGGCATCATATCTTACAGGAAAAAATCTCTGGGCTCCAAAGCAAAATAAGAAACCTATGCGCTACATGACGCACATTTAGGGGTTCCTAATCTCCAGCATTTTCCATCTCTTGGTGAGACCACAACAAGCATGACAATTTCCACCAGCAATGCTGTTCACCGCATAATTAGTGTGAGACTTTTCGATTACTTCACCAGAAACACTGCGCTACCGAGCTAGTTCGTGACAAAGTCTCTATTCAGAGTGATTACAATTTTGTTCCAAGAAAGACCAGGTCTCTCTTTTTTGGTATGCACATGCATGTCTCATTTTTATTGAAAGCTTGGCGAACTAAACATAATCTGAATGTTTTCTTCACTGTATAAGTAAAATCTTACAAATCTGTTTTTATATCTCCTTAGGATGAAATCTACAGCTTCCTGTAAAATGAACTTACGGAACTATCCAATGGATGATCAAATTTGTCATTTAGCTTTGGAAAGTTGTGAGTAACACATGAGACGCTTTTATACTTTTTACTTTAGAGTCTTCATTAAATGACTCATTTTTTACCATTCTCAGCATCAAAACATGTCTTTACGAACAAACTTTCTCTCAGTTTCTTATGATAGAGACGATCTTAAATTCACCTGGAAAAAAGAAGTCGGGACTGAAGTCTATATATACGACAAGGAAATGGCGCAGTTTACTGTCATTAACGCAACGAGGAAACTCAAGCATCCATTATATCACTCAGGTGACAGATAATGAAACAGATCCTCCAGTAATGGTGTGAAAAAGACCGCACTTACGTATGATTCCGAATTTAGTAAAAGGAGTAAAAATCAAAACTGCAGCTTGATAGAGCAATAAACATACGAACATACGACTGCATGGCTAACAGTCGCAATAAACAAATCGTGAAGTTCACCAATCATAGATACACCATACAAGGCGTTGACGAACACAACTGCGTGACGATTTAAGTAGTTTTTTGAATAACGACTGATGAATAAACAGTAGAAACGGAATTTTTAAGCACTAAAAGAACATTATTTTAAAAAAGCCATTAAAAAAATTGTTAAATTATAACTATTTTCTTTCTCTTGCCAGAATCATTCTCTGGTCTCACAGTGACCATACACTTTCAACGTCGCACCATGTACTACATCTTTCAGATGTACATACCATGTGTATGCATTGTAGCTCTGTCGTGGGTCAGTTTCTGGATTGACCCGGGCGCAATACCAGCACGTGTTGGCCTTAGTATCACCACAGTATTGACGATATGTTATATGCTAGGCTCTGTGAACTCGAATCTGCCGCGAGTGTCCTACCTCAAAGCTATTGACTACTTTCTACTGATGTCGTTTGGATTCATTTTTCTTACTCTGGTGGAATATGTGTTTGTTCTGAGGTATTCAAGAAGAATGAAGTACGTTGGTAGTTTCTCTCCTGGTGAAAGGTCCCATGACGATTTCTCAACAGAGGATTGGGTAAGAACGGCTGTGAGAAGGGAATAAATAAAACTTCAAGTCTGCACTTTACAGTTTCACATTATGACTTGTTCAAAAAACGAGTACGTCCATGTACTTTCAATCGAAATTTCTTATGTGCCAATGAACAATTCAAAATTTCATAGCGATGGCAAGTTGTCACCGAAGGTATCAAACTTTAATGCATAGTAATAAACAGAACACAAACAAAAAACAAAAACAAGATGAACATCCCACATTTCAATTGCTTGTTTTCTGTTTTAACTCTTTAACTCCCAAGATGTCATTGGCAATTCTCCTTACTGTCTGTCATACAGTTCTTGTGATGTTAGTTTGGAGAATTTGGGATTGGATCAACTTATAATCCCCTAATTGATATTTTTCTTTATTCTCATCACTAGTTTGCTTGATATTGTATTAATATTGTAAAGAGAAATTCTGTCTTCGTCACTCATGGGAGTTAAAGGGTTAAAATTTATCAAATCTTTAATCACGTTTTTTTCAAATTCTCTACTTTTTCCTCTTTCAGGCTGATAACTGTAGCAAAATGGAGATAAGAATTTGCATGGGAGGCAAATCCTACGTCTTTACGGACTCTATAGATAACGTTATAGGCTCATCCAAAGGGAGGAAAAACGGAACAATTTTAAAATATAATAGCACCAAGAGACCTATCAAAACCTGCAATCACAAGAAGCCAATTTTCAGGAGAAAAAAAGAAAACGAAGGAACACTAATGGAAAAAATTAAGAAAACGTTTGGTTGTACTCTGGATGGGAATCAAATAGACAGATATTCAAGATTTATATTTCCCTTTTGCTACTCGCTGTTTTTAACGATATATTTTGTTGGATTTGTTTTTGGCAGTCAAGCTGTTCAAAATCTCCCTGAAGGAGAGATGTATTGACAATCACGAATTGCTTGCGTGATATTTAGCGAGATTCACAATGTCAAGTTCGTATCGTTATAAACTAAAGAAACCCGGAATTCAGGAGATCCGAGTTCAGGCCCCGTCTTTGGAGATCTCTTTTCTGAGACTTGTTTGCTTTCAAAGAAAACCTTTCCAGGCGGGACATCACTCTGGGGCAGGAAGAAAAGGAAGGATGAGACTGGTGATAACTCAGAATGAATCCAAATAAGCAGAATATAAGCTGGTAGTAAAACATTTAATGCTGTTTTATTTACTATTGAAATCCTGACTTATAGCATTTTTCAATAGACACAATGACCTTTTTAATCGCGAGCATGTAGTTGTTATGACATGGAATGCTTTTGTCGCGCTTCGTCCTGTGCTGAAGGATCTGTCCGTTTAGAGAAACATCATCACGGAGTTTCGGCACTTAATTTTGCACAGGCATCCATATAACACTTATTTTAAGTGACATAATCAGATTGGATGTTTCCTGCACGAGAAAAATATGACTTCAGAGGGTTCGTTACAATGTAAATTATAAATCAGCCTTTAAACCTGCATAAAATTAATCATGTAAAATACAATTGCCTTATGTATGTAAAAGCGGACGGTGGATATATTACATAGCTACAGCCGTTGTAAAACACACGGCTGGTAGAGCTGTGTTCCGCCATATATTCTCCACCTGCAGGGTAAATGAACAGTTGGATTTTTTATTGTCAATAAAGCTATACATTGGTTTAACTCATTCTATAGCTTTCGAAAACTTGTGACAATCATTCACTGGGCACTCTGTACAACCTGAACAGAAGTTGAGGCAGTTCGCCTGCGCCTTCGCGGTTGTTTGCGACTTGAAAAAAACAATATCGACAAGAATGCGCCCCTAAAGTTATTATTCAGGGCTGCGTATACAATTGGATTACAAGCGCTGTTGGTGAACATCAGCCACTGAGCAAATAGGATGAACGAGATGAAAGGTGGCGTGAGCTGGGACAGACTGAATTCGGCATACATATAGACGATGTGGTATGGTAACCAACAGAGACCAAACAAAAGCACCACAGTAACCAACATCTTGATCACCTTCCTCTGATTTCGGTTGTTAACTGAAAGGATATGATTACAAGATAAGTTACCAAAAGAAAGAAAAAACAAGAGTTTACGTGCTTGTATGCTAATCAGACAGACTTTAGTAGGTTTTGTCTTTACGTACAAAGAAAAACAAAAGATTTGTGCGAACTTGGATCGTGGCCAAGTCTTAACTAATTCTCCGACTAATTATGTTTCAATGCTCCTAATGCTGTACCCGATTAATGCACCAAGGTGTGATTAAAGATGCTTAGTATTCACATCATGTTTAAGCGAGTTTACATAAAAAAGACAAAAAAGTTCTGAGATGTTATAACTTTATAGTGGAAGAAAACAGAAAGTCTATAGAACCTAGAAAAGTATGCCTTTCAGGTTACATCAATCATAGAGCGGAATAAAATGAAAGGCTACACACCACTTTGGGTTGTCGGCAGGGTTTTCAAGAAGCGACCGATCCGAACGTAAAGCCCACAGATGAACAATAAGGGAAGAAAATACAGCAGCAAGAACACCAGAGTTGTGTAAGCTTGCCTGGTTTTCAGATTTGGCCATTCTTCGATGCAGATCTCTCTGGCTTCTTCATTCCACCTTATGGTCTTGCTAAACACCAACAGCGGGACAGGAATAAAAATGGAGGACACCCAAATGAGCACTATGGCTTTGTGAGCCTCACGGACGGTGAGCTTTCTTCTTGTGTATAAAACTATATGCCAGTATCGCTCAGCGGCGATGGCAACCAACGTACCCACTGAGGCAGATAAAGTTAAGCCTTGCAGGAACGGAACAAGCTTGCAGAGGGCAGCACCGAATGGCCAGTACACCAGATGACTATATGTAACTACAGTGGGCATGTTGATGAGAGAGACTGCGAGGTCTGCCAATCCAAGATTTGCAATGAGAACGTTGCTCACTGTGGTCATGCCTGGTTTACGACTAGCGAGAATAACCAATAGATTACCTAGAACTCCAGTAACACAAATAACGCTGTAGGCTGCGATGCGTGACCATTTAAAAAACCGGCTTTCAGCCGCAGTTCCTGATTCACCTGGGGAAACAGTGGATGGTATGTTGTAATAGGTCGTGTTACTTTCGTTGAAAATCATCGCCGCCACAGAATCCAACCTTTTAACCGAATATTTTAGGATTGGGTAGAAAAATAAGATCTTACAGTCAGAGGAAATAAATATATATTGAAAGTTTACCAAGCTGCCACCTGATATTTTGATTTTACTTGTCCTCTTCAATGAACTGTTTCCTGTTCACATGGCAGGCAGGTTTTCCTCTACAGATAAAAGCAATCTTCCGTTTGCTGACTAATATCGTTCTCAGGTTATTTCTATCATTCCTTGCACAAGCTAAAATCGACAATTCTTTTATTTTATTGTCTGATAAAGGCGAAAATCAATTTATGTCAAATGCTCTTGCTAGCATTTTGGAATTTCACATATATGTCTCAATTCCCCTGTCAATCTTCTCCCCAAGCAATCTACATTATAAAACATCATTATATAAAAGGTATGGTAGTTATTGAACGACGGCAAAGCTTTATTTTTTAGAGGAAATATTGTGAAGGGTAAACTTGACAGGTTAAAGTAACATCGTTGATATTTTTATCGTTAACAAAATTCAGGCCTTATCTTATCTAGATAGAGCGAGAAACCTGATGATTTTTTTTTTTAACTGTAGAGGTAACTGTTGATTTAGTCGTTCTTTGAGTGTACTATGGCTTTAGATTTGAAATAAACATCAAAAGGATAAAAAATATCGCCCTCGTGATCAAACGTTTTTCATTCACCTTTAAGAAGTTTGCTTTTCTTCGACATGGGGAGCTTCAGTTTAAAAACTAACGGAAGAGAAACAGAACTCCAATCCAATGCCAAACAAATCAGATAAGGATATCTCAGCTTTTCCTATCTATTTTTATCTCTCAATAGACAAAACAGGGACAAAATGCAAAATCGTGAGAGATGTGGAAAAGGGCCGCTACACTAAGGTCAAAAAAACCCATCTTTGCTCGTTGCACGAGTTGATCTTCAAAATAATAAATGTAAATGTCCACGGTAAACCATTCGGTGAAAATAAACGCCTCTTTTTCCTGTCCCAACTACCCTAAATCATTTACAAATGTGAGCTTCGATTGACTGCCAGCGCTAGCGACATTAGGCTGGTGTGTATGCCTTTATATTTGCCCTAAGCGCCGGTAGAAACTTGTTGATTATTCTTGCCATCCGCTGGACACACATGAAAGCACTAGCAAACGTCTTTATCGCCAATCTAGCAGTGGGGAATCTTCTACTTTGTCATATCAATGTCCTCTTGGTCACGACTTTGGAACACCTTGGACACTGGCCGTTCAGTGAGCTAATGTGTAAGGAGAGGCATAACAAAAAACTATAAAATGGGAAGATTTACAGGGTATATCTATATATTATGTGGTGCATTTCAAATCGGCGTTTGTAAAACTGCAAGACAATTGATAGATGGGATTAATGTTTCACTCCCTTTGAAACTAATCAAATCATTTTCTTACTCAGACATCATGATATTGTGGGTTTTTCGGTAACAATAAAATTTGCTCGATTTCATGATAAGCTCCCGTTTTTTTTTTTTTCCGTTGTTGTTGTTGTTGTTGTTTCTATATTCAAGTCAATTAAAACTTGCGCAAAAAATTAACTAGAGACACTTTCTGCACGTAGATATAATGATTACCATTGTGTTTACATTAGTATAAACACACGTTAACTTCAAGACTTTTTGATAAGTTCGAAAAATAAAAATGATTGCCAAATTGAAACAGTGTTTACGGATTGAGTTGACGACAAAATAGGAACCGAGACAGCTCGGCTCCTATTAATAAAAATGACCCTCTTGCTTTATGTTATCTAAAAGAGACTTATTCGTTCGACTTATATTTCCAAAAGAAACAAGCACTCTTCCTAAACTATTTTTCGGGCGATGTTGCCATTGAAAAAGCCCTTTGTGGCATAGAATGAAATATGAGAGGACCGTGGCTCAGTTTAACATAATTCCATATATTCTACGGATATTAGCTTCTCTTCGTTTCCCAAAGAAGAGGGTTATTACCTCTTTTACCAGAGGTTTACTTGGAAGAAAGTGACTGGAACGCGTAAAATATACCAAGGTAATGCACTGTGGAGCAGGACAAAACATACGGATAAAAAGCGTAAAAACAAAACGGCAGCATTAAATGATCCAAACTTTGATTATCTTTCCTGATTTTTACGCTTGGCTTTTTTGAGCGACAAACCTTTGAGTGCTTCAGATTTGTTTGTAGATCGTAATAGCACCGTCGTGGTTTCGTTTATGTTTCGAGCACGCCTACAATGCTCAGACGAGGCCGTAGGATGTATTTTGAAAGCCAGAGGTAAAAAAAAAAAAACAGAAAAATTAGATGAAAGTGGAATAAATAATCCCGTATTTAATGGTTCACCATAACTATAGTGCGAGCGGATAATTTGTCCAACACAGGCCTTTTTCCTCGCCCTTAAGAAACTGAGAATACAACGCAACTTGCAAATATCCGCCCGTTTGGAAAGTTAGCCTGTGGAATTAGTGTGTTTACAAGAACTTAATCGCAGCGTTAAGAATTTGTCAATAGCGTTTGAAAGAGGACAGTGACGCACGATCATTGGTGTGAGAACTTCCTACACAAGGTTAATTTGTTTCCACAGAATATTAACACAACAGTTCTTACAACAAAGGCTTATTTTGCACTTTTTTAATTCTTAACTATACCTTCATGACATTTCTCTGCTTAAAGAAAAAAAAGCAAAATACAAAAGACATAAATTCGATGTAGCTGCACAGTGTCATAGTTTTCTTTCTAACGCCTGCTACTTAGATATAAAAAATATTTTTTAGTTGGAAAAAAAAAACATCACACCCATAAACTAAAATGGTAAATTACATCAATTAACTAATAAAACTTCACGGTTTTCCTATGAATTTTTCAGTATTCTCAAGCAATTAGTACACAGTCAAATACCATTTATCGTATAAATGGCAGATGATCGAAAGTCTCTCGGGAATATTACTTTGATTCATCGTAGAAAGATCGCTATCTAATTCTCAACTAAATAACGAGAAAATGTCTGATGCAAATTAAATAAGGGTTAGTTATAATTTTTTTACGAGCTGCATAGATTCCGGATCATTTTCGCACCGCAGTGCGATTCATAGCCCTTGTGAACAAATCCTTACCGGAATAAGTCATTCTAAAATTAAGAAAAGTGCTTTCTATTTTTCTTGGAATGTTTGCGTTTTAAGAATGTTAATATTTGGTTTTCCTACTGTGCACGCTTAAACCATATTTAGCCTTTTTCACCTGGTAGATCGTTCTGTCACATATTTGCCAAAGACATATTAGATTTCTGTACCTGACAGGAGGGTTCCTTAGTTTTTAATTAAAATCCCCAGCTGAGTCCAGATAACCCGACAGCCGTGTGTCACAAAAATCACATCTTCGGCTGCCATGCAAATTAACAGCACAAAATTAATTGACAATTCAAGATCTCTCTTGTACGGATGTCAATTTACTTAATGAAGTTGAACAGGATGCAAAAACAAATCTTCAATATCAACCACAACCAAAGCTTAAATAATCTGTTTTCGTTCTTTTCTTTCTCTTTTCTTTTTTATTTTCGTTAATATTTAATCAAAGCATTGAATCAAAAACGTTTAGGGATGGTTTTGCGAAGTTATGAAGAAATTTCGAAATAAAGAATAGTTGATTTTCTGACGGGATTCCTTCCTGTTGACAATAAATAAAAATCGGGAATATGCCACATATAGTTCGCTGTAGATTCTGAACACTGATCAAACAACAGCTGGAACATTATCAAATTACGCAGTTTAATTCACTGAAAGTCTTTAAATAAATTGAGGCGAGAAATCTAAAGCATAAATGACAACACAAAAAATTGCGTTGGAAAATAAAAAGAAAAAATTGAGAAGTTATTTTATTCATTTTATCTTTCAGTCCACTCCTTAATTTGTTATGGTATTAAATTAAATTCTGACAGTTTCACCGGCTTATCGTTTCGGAAGTGATTACTTGAAAGAATGTCCATCCCTTATTGACAGAGATATAAATAGTATTTAGTATTATTACCTTCGAAGAAAGTACCTTTCTTAATGATGGCAAACTAAAATGGATTGCTAAAATTAAATGCGGTAACTCCATGAGTTAGCCTTTTTTTTTTCTTTTTTTTTTCCTTCCTGATTTATACGTTCCTTTCGCAGAATGTCTAAGACTCTTCCTGGGGGCAGGATATTACTGTGACAAACATCAAATCAATTCTATTTTACGTATGTAAACATTTCAAGAACCAGTCGGAGGTTTCTCTGATTTGAATCATTGATAAACTTCCACCCTGACTGATGTAGGTTACGCAGCAAAAGTTGGCAAGCTAAACCAAAACAAAAAGAAAACGTACTTCTAATTAGTATTTGATATTAATTTTTTCACCAGCATACTTTGCTAAGCGGCATTTCATGTAATCGCCAATTTTATACTTAAACTGCAAAATCATATCTAAGATTGAACTGGTGATTAATATATTTTTTAGATTTTCAACGTGAAGAGCAGTTTACAGTCAATGTTTGGCTGAGTAGAGCGCACCACAAAGATGCTTAAATGTACGTCCGTGAGATCCTTATGATCTAAGAAAGGAAATCCAACACCTCTTGGTTTAAACGATAACAAAGGACAGCATTGAGTGTCACAACGAGCTTCGAATCTTATGAATATTGCCTCGTGCTTGAATTTACATTTAATCTCTTTTTTTTTTTTCGCTTTATCAGTACCATTCTTTCAAAACTGAACAGCACTTGACAATACTCTTCTTCACAAGGACCACTTGTTTTACAACGCCAGTCTCCTATTAAACTTTAATCCGTCGAAGGTTTAGGCGGTTGGTTATGACATGTCTACATAATTCATATCTCAAAGTATCTTCTGCGGTGACTTAGTTTTTTGTGAAAGATAATATCATACTAAGTAATAAATGAAATATTTCTCTTTGATATATGGATGTCTTTTTACAGTTTTTTTTTCTCCGCGTCGCCGCTAAATAAATAATTTACACAGAAAAAAGCATGATGCCACGAACAGATAAGTGAGAGTGTTTTATGCACTGTCTGCGGATTACTGGCTCCGTAAAAGGAAGTAAGAAATCAGTTAACACCATTAACAACGTTGAACTCTCAGGAAAGTGCATTTCAAATATCTATTAAAGGGATCTGCCGAAACCAAAAGCTTTCAAGGAGATTCAGCTCCTGAAGAAACAAAATAGTGGTCACGGAAGAGAGAAGTAATTTTGGAATGGCCAGGGCTTGAAAATAATAATTTTAACTAAAGCAAGCTCTATAATGAGCGATTATTGTCGGAGCTTCATCCGGAAGGCCATATGGGCTGTAAAACTTCAAAGTGAGCTAAAAAACATTAATTGATCATAAAATAAGTAAAATAAGTTTCTTTTGGCATGTTCCAAATCAAAATTTCTACAAATCTACCCTTGGTGACTAAATTTGGAGAATCTCTCTTTGGTCGAAGACATAACAAACGCCCATTTGAGCAGTTGAAGTCTAAATCGGTACAAATTTTAAGGCCGGTATTGTGACAACTTTTCACTTAATCTCAAATCCTTCCCTTTCGACAAACCTTCACTTTCCGGAAAAGAGCATAAACACTCTCAGAATAGTTTCTTTAATTCTACTCGATTGGCAGAATATTGGTACAAAGTTCCGGAAGAGGCCATAGAATTAAACTATAAACTCTGCACTTTCCACGAAAACGACAGGCAAGGCCTTTAGAAAATGCACGAGAAGTTATACATAACTGTCATTTGGAAAATTTCTAGAATTTTCCACAAAGAAATGATTTTTTATTGACTTAATATCTGAATACAATCAGCAAGAGCATTCGATTCCGCCAAATTTCATTTGTTTGCTTATTCTTTCGTGTGTCAGACATACATTTGGAGTAAAGAAGTAAGTAAGGATTATTCAGCCCACTGTTTTCCTTGCTCTTTCTTTAATTCGTAACGAAGCGCTTCAAATCATAAATAAAACTAGTAAAGAGCCATGTGTGTGTCACTGTGGTGTTTATTTTTATTTCCAAGAACCAAGGCTGAAAAAATTCATTAGCAATAGTAACTGTTTGAAGTTTGTTTGATGAAAAGGCACCGATTGTGATCATTGTGGAAGCACTCCATCATTAGGGCTTTACAAAATTAAAAAAGGTGTAAGCTGTAGCTGATTGTTGGAGTACTGAGACAAGGAAAAAATCCACCGTTATTCATTTCATCATCCTAACTTGACATAAATCGTGTCTGTTACTAAAAATTTGCTTCGATTTCATGTTTGAACGATTAAAAAGTAAACGATTCAAAATATGGAAAGGGCTTGAGAGATGACATCAATTGTTACTTCATAAAGAAGGAATAGAAGGGGGAAAAACGACAAATCTAAAGATCTGCGTTTGGTGATGCGTTTAACCTCTAGATAAGGGACAAAAAAGTTAAGCCCAAACGAAACTTGTTTACACAAGTCAAATAGAACTGAATCTACCAATCCCTCAAGAGGCTCAAAGTGGAAAAATATTTTAATTAAACTTTTCCACACCGAACGTTGAGCTGTAAAATGAAACTTCACGGCAGCTCGTCACAACAATAACGATAATGAGAAGGGACTTTAAACAGAAGATCAGTTTGAATACTACCTAAACAAAAAGGACCCGGCAGCTGCTCAAAGCTCACTGTTTAAACTATCTGCAATGTTTACATTGAGTAGAAGAGTAATATTCACCCGGGTTAGAAAATCAATTCATCATAAAATGCGCGCTGCTTCGCTTATCTTCTACAGACTTGGCATATTGATAATCATCCGATCTGATAATCTAGTTATAAAAGGACATATTCACCACCCATCAGCCACAGGCTTGCTGCTTATATAAGCTAACAGAAAAAAAAATAATATACACATAGACGCAAGCACACTTTGATGAAATTTGCACAAGCAGAGTCAAACGTAACACTCATCAAGCTTAAGAAATAACACATTTGGAGGAGGTATGACAGGAGAAAGAGACTTGAAGTTTTCTTTTTACTTGTGTAATATAAATACAAAGGTAAGGAAAAAGTAAGTTCGCACATCAGTCAACAGAAACCGCTACTGGAAAAAGAACGAATATTCTGTCTCCAAAAGCAGGTGATGATAACTTGTCACTTAAAGGTTGTCGAGAGTCTGTTTTTTGAAGAAGCCGCGAGTGGAATATAATATTACACGGTTTCTGGGGCGAATCAAGGACAACTAAATTGCTAATTGTTTCTTCCTTTTTAATTTATCCACGGATAGCCAACGGATTGTTAAATGCACTGAGGTTCAGGATCTGGCGAAGGAGTATTTGTATAGTACTGGCGCCTCGAGACTAATTTTGACTGCATACTCGCACATCTCACGGGTCTGTGGATATTAATCACGCGTCACGTCGACACGGTTGGGAAATAGCCGCAAAATCTCAGAGGTTTAGCGACAAATTATTGCTAAGAGAGGAAGAAAAACCTGGAAAAATTAGACTGAGGCGATTTAATTGAAAAGAAAATTGCCTGCCTTTATTTGATGAGTGGACTCGCACAGGTTATCCGGTTGATAATGTTTAAAGACCTTGATGGGCATGTCGACTGGTGCATCTGCCTTAACTAAATATCCAATTGAAAATTCATCAGATTTAGTCAGACAGAACATGGAAATTGGCTATAAAGAACAGTAAAATTGGCTTCCTTGCGTTCATCATAGCTGCCTTAGTTTCATTTGGACCAATCGCAGGCTGACCACTGACGTCAACTGATCGCGTTCACGGCGGTAAAGGCGACATTTGAAGCCTCCTTTCACAACTCCGTTAAATTTATAAGGGATCCGAACTTCAAGACATCAAGCCACCAATTTGAAGCGCTACATTTTCCTGAAAGTAGTCCCTTGCGCGCTTTCGTAAGGTGTACGGCTTAGATAACTACTTCTGGTTTGCTATTTAGCGGGATAGTCTTCACTGAGTTTTCACGACCGGTTGAAAGGTTACGGTTACAGCCCGGCATTATCATATTTCGTCTCCGTTGCAGAATTTACCGGAAATATTGGCTTTGGGATACACTTTTCGTCGGCTCCTATTATTTTAAAAAAAATATATAGTGGTGCCTATAGCGACGTAGAGAACAAAAATAAATTCAACGTTGAAGAAAGGAAATTGCACCGTTCGATTCCACAAGCCGGTTTGCAGTCGCCACTATGACGGAATACTTCTCCCAAAGAAACTTCAGCAATGTGACCTCGACAATTCCTCCGACACTACAGCCTCAAGCTGCGTACGAGGATAAGCTTGTGTGGCTAAGAGTTGTATTTTATGGTGTAATAAGCATTGTTGGTACCGTAGGAAACGCTCTGGTCATATTAGCATATCGAAATCCTCGGATGCGAAGTGTAACCAATCTTTTTATAGCGAATTTGGGCGTTGCAGATCTGACTGTGACTCTCATAAACGTTCCCATCACAGTGACGTATTCTGTACTACAGTACTGGCCATTTGGCGAGTTTCTTTGTAAAGCCATACCTTTTATACTCGGGGTCACTCTCTTCTCCTCCGTCGGAACGTTGATAGCCATCGCAGCGGACCGATACCGCGCTATAGTCCATCCACTGCTTCCAAGAATTCGAACGCGACATGCGATCATGATCATTGCAGCAATTTGGATCGCCGCGTTCATCTATCCAATTCCGTTAATAATTTACCAACATTTTACAGAAGGCCGGTGTGAAGAAAAATGGCCCACAGAAAAGGCTAAGAGGATCTTCACGGTTGCTGTGTTTGCAGCACTTTATCTGATACCACTGATCGCCATATCGGTACTGTATTTTTTAATTTGTCACAATCTTAACACTTCGGAATCTTCTACTCAGGAAGGTAAGTGCTGGGCAGCAAATTCCTGTCATTTCATAATGTAAGCGAGTAATATTTCATTCGTTAAGTAACGGAAAGTTTACGCGAGATGAGGCGGAAACAGATTTTTTTACAGATACACAGTTATTTGCCGCTATGAAAAGCCTGGAATGCAGCGGCCTGTTTCGGCGTGATCTGTTAACGTTTGCCTAAATACATACGGCGTCTGCGTTTACCAAAACCAAAACGCGTAAATTGTGAATTATTAACATTACTTTCAAACGTTTCGTTCTAAGCCGGATTTATTCTGAAAAGGCCCTCGTGCTGTATGTTTTTTTAAATACTGCTCCTCGAATGGGTGAAAAAGACGAATACGAGCCCAAATGTAAGCTTTCTAGAATATGTTAAGCCTAAAAGAAAAAATTGGGATTGGAAGCCAATTCAAAAGGTCTGTTTGCTGTTTCTAATCTATAAACAAATACTCTAAACCCAAATTTGCATTAATGATAGTGGCTTTTCCACTCGTATTTCATACGAGGAGAACGTGACAGCTTCGAGATCTTAAGAAACAACAGCTTTTAAAAATCTGAAATAATGGTCTAAAAATGTGAAAACAGCTTTCAAAATAATGGGTCGAGGGATTAAAGCCACAATACTTCCGCTGAAACTACGATGAACCAGCCCAGGCGTTTCAAACATCGTCTTAATTTTTCGGGTAACAAGGAATAGAAGTATCTGTAGTCCTACAAACATGAACGAAAATGCTACTTTCTTGAATGCAAAATCCCAAGCGTGTTTCTTTGAAATTGAGAGTAGGTTACATGTTTTAAAACAGTCTCTTTGTCATTTTTTTAGTTAATGGATTAATACAAACAATGATTCTTCTTTAACTGAAAGATGCAGATTTTAATCGATGTATTCTGCTTCTTTGTTAGTATTTTAAGGAAGAAATATCGGAAGGACAGTGTGACTGTTTGTGCATTTTGTTTATTTCAGTTGCTTGTCACTGCATTGTAATAGTTGAAAGAGTAAAAAAAATAAATGAGTATGGATAAAAACTTCAAAACATCGATGTAAACAAAGCAATTTGCAGTGGTAACAAAAGAGGTAAAATATTTCCATAGCAGTCGAATTCTTTTTTTGCATTTATAAAATTGAATAAAAACATCACCTACTGTCGTTATTTCCAAAAAATATATTGTTTTTATGCAACCGGATTCAGTACGAAGGTGTTCACAGGAAAATGCAAGCAACTTTGAGAATAAAAAGAATAAATAAATATACATAAAGATAGCTTTCGGTATTAAAACTTCTGCTGATAAAATCAGCCAAAATCAGGTAAACAGAAAAGCTAAGTGTTCTCGACGAAACACCTTCAGTCACAATTTGGATTCTTCAGAACTTTTCCGAGTAAGCAGTCGAATAGAGAGATTAAGCTGAAGACTGTCATACTATTATCAGCATTATAGGCTTAATAATCAGCTTTTAATATAGAGACATTGTCGTTTTTCAACGGGATAGAGCCGCTCTACTCCAGATAGGTTTTTGTCGACTTTGCAAACGTAGAAGTAAAAAAAATTCCCAAACGTAGAAGGAAAAATTCCATTTTTAGAGCATGCAGGACTGACCGTAGCCATTAAACCCGTTTCAATTAACCTGAAGCAATATAGCCATGTTTACAATGATTGAAGTCGCAAACTTAAAAGGAGTTAGGCACATTTTTGGCCCAGAATTTTTGTAAATCACCCCGTGTGCAGAAAAAGTTCCCACCATTGTGCGCACACCAAAAATTCCCGAAGGAAACTTCCAATGAAACGGAAATTTTACTGATAAACATCTTGCTGTAGCCGTTGTTTATTTGCATGACCTTTTTGAAATACATGGAGGCTTGCTGTGTGAAAAGGATCGCACGCTGTTCTTCCTTGAAAACGTAAAATTGTCAGAATTAATAACATTACTGACATTGACTTATGGGTTTTAAAACAAATGCAGGTTGCGCAATGAACATAAAACAATCCATTCAGTCGTCTATCTCCGATTGTTTTGCGTTGAATCTTCGTGACTCTATTTACTATTTCCTTTTAAAACTCACAATTTTCGATAGAAAAATCAAATTTAAGTTGTTTAATATAACATTTAGATCTGACCGTCTTTCCAGTTCTCTTTCATTGACAAAAATAGAGGCTGTCGTTTGTGAATATTTAATTACTTTTCTTGCCTCTTAAAGATTTACGTGCAGCTAAAGGCGGATCAAAAAAAAAAAAAAAAAAAAAGAAAGAAAAGAAAAGAAAATAATAGTAAAAGAAGGAAAAATTAAATTGATTTCCGAGACTTGAAACGGCGCTTTCGAGTTAAGTCTTCATAAACATGTTGACGAGTATTTCATAATATGGCAGATTTACAATTATAATACAACTTTAATTGGTACCGGCCATTACATGCGGCTCTATTGAACTGGCAATTGTCTTGAGATATCGACAGGTGACTGGCACATTCATCGAGAGGAGTCAGAGAAATTCAGCGTAATTTTGGAAGCCTAGTTCTTTATGTTCTTTTTTTTTCTGTCTTTTCTTTTTTTTCGAGAAAAGAAAAGGACAGCGTAATCTCTGAACTATAAGACACTGTCCTTAAATGTCAATTATTTGAGATTAAGAGTAGTGATAAAGGATGAGAAATTATCTGTCTCGCAAGAGGGAGATAAGTTATTTGAAAAGCCAATATTGATTGTTGACTATATAGAATAATATTTGATCTTACTTGGGAAGAATTTTTTCCTGGTAAAGACTCTTGAAACAATTGTTTAGTGAAGTACAATTGGTTTCAAAATATTTAAAAAAGGGTAAATTCATCGATAGTAATTTATATCAATGGCGACTTTCTCTATCAACAAGTTTAACGGAGAACCCCTTTTTGACATAAATTTAAACAATAACAGAATACTCAATAGTAATAAACTTCACAATCAAGATTTATTTCCTTTTTTTTTCTTTTTCGTTTCATTCGCAATTACTTTCTTAACCTAACATTTTTCCTATTTTACGTTACGTTCACTTTATGTCAATTTTTTTTGCTCAGGCCTAAAAGGCCGCAAAAAGTTAACTGGCGGTAAGTTTCTAAGTACTAAACATGCTAAACAATTTTAGTTTTACTAAACTAAACCTGACAAAAATGCAATATTAAACTCAATTTAAATCTTTCGCGAAGCTGTCGGTGAAGGGCTTTTCGCCCCTTTAGTTACATTGTACTGTATCTCGTAATATGTGGCTGCCATACAGTGTTCCGAACGGGGTATAAGAACGATGACAACTGTGATTACTGATGCTTTCTAAAAAAATTGAATTGCTTTTGAATAAATAACTTTAAGTCTAACTAGCTGATTGATTTATTACGTTGTGTGAGTTGTACAATTTTGGCGATTCGTATTCTCTGTGTAGACTCATTTTCTGGCCACATGCTGCACGTTTTGCGTCAAAGATCGGTTTGTTTTCATGAAAAGACCACACATTTTATGGAATTAACAGTGTTCCTGTAATAAGATAACTATTCGATCTCTTACAAAATTTTCCCAGTCTTTTTTTGCCCTTTAATGGGCTTGGATAAACAGTTTACTGTGTTCGAGCTCTGCTGCACACGAAAGTGTGGGAACATTGATTTCCCTGCGCTTACAAACTTAACCAAAAACCTATCAGAGATCTAAACGTTAAGAAACAATGATTAATTCTTTTCGCGAGCCTATGTTTTCATTTAAGGGGAAAACTTCAAGTTAAATCGGTTTGATTTATTAAGCCTTTTGTTTCACTAACGCATCCTTGTCTCCTTTTCCGAAGCTTCCGGTCATGGTTTTCTAGGGCATTCCATACAATCTTAAAATCTAGGAGTCAAAATGCGATAGTCATTGGAAGAAAAACCTGTATTATTTTAATTTCCTGCAATTATAGTATGCTTCCGAAAACATCTCATTCGATAATCTCTCACTGCCGGATGAGAAGGTTTTAAGACAAGAAAAAAGGTGGGTTTAATATAAGCTTTTTCTCTCCTTTTTTTTTTTCTTTGAGTAAAACAACCCCCTGGTGCTTCAACGAACACACTTCTCCATTTAAACTTCTTGATGCAGAATAACAATAACGATATAAATGTAATGTCCTCTTAGTTTTTCAAGCGCCTTCAGCGTGGAACTTTGCCAACAATTAAATACCACGCCCAGCAAAAAATTGTTGCAGGGGTGCAGAATTGCTTGAGCTAAAAAAAGAAACCAGACCCCATGCAAAAGCTTTTGATCACTAATGATTAAAATTAAAACCCATGCCAAGTAAACATCAACAATAGCTCGAAAAGGTTTTTAAAATAATTGAAAGTATCGAAAACAATTGATAAGTTTCCGACTCTGGTTTGAAAATAGTTGTACTGAGGTGAGAGTCCAAAAATAGCGGCAGTTAATGGAGTCCACTTTTAATTTTGAATTTGTGACTAATTAAGATTAGAAAAAAGCTTTTGTTTTTTGTGTTGTAAAAGGAAAATTGCTTTAGGGTGTTCCAAAGAAAGATTAGCGGAATGGATAAGACAAAACTAGAGCTTACAACGCTATAATTTTTCAGCTAAATTATCTTCAAGGTTGCTTTCTGCCTTCCTCATTGAAGAATTAAAGGAAACCCTGAAGTGCAATGAGATTTTGGAAAATAGAGCAATTTTATGCAAAAAATAACAATAATAATATTAATAAATAAAGGTAAAATGTTAAGTTCGCAGCAGCAATAGCCGCAGTAAATGTATCGGTTCAACTAAGTTGTTGATTCGTCCAAAGAGGTTGTTTTCATGACGGAGTGTTCTCTAAAACAGGGTGCAAACTGGGTTTACAAAGATTTCATATCAAGTTTGTGAAAAATCAATCATTTTTGTGAATCTGATGTTTCCAAGATTAACATTTTTCAAGAATTTGTAAAGAGATGAATCCTCTATTATCATTGCAATGCGATGATTAAAAAAAATAGAGGGATGTAATAAATTTGTTGAAGAGTTAAAGATGTATCAAGGAAAACTTTTAGAGTGCCTAAAATGCTAGGGAAATCGACTGGTGCCTTTTTTTGAAAAAAAAAATCATGTTTTGAATCAGCTCAATTTTATTTCTACTGATCGGTGAAGCAAGAACAAACTTTTTACCCAGCGAAAGTAAAACCAACAAGCAAGTATGATCTAGGTAAACGAACAAAGAAAAAGAGTGAAGGACAAATATGATAAGGTACATAGTTACACAACTTCAAAGCCATCATCAAAAAGACACGTCTTCGATCATCGCCCCTACCTTATTTGATTGGAACTCGAGCATAAATTTGATTCTAATGACTGCATTTAAACAGTTCTTTTTTTTTTATCCAAACACGTCTCCGTTATTTTTGACAAGAGCGAAACAGATCTATTCTAATGAACAATTTTTAATAAAACTGCTATATACGTTTGAATGAGGCTATCGTGGTTGAGGCTATCTGCCAAATTTATCTCTAAAATATATTAGGTACATGCATGTTTCATTTTTAAGAAGTAAGTAACCAAGCTGAAGTATGAAAGAAATCTATGACCGCGGTAAGTACTTAAAGCAAACAATCAGATAACTGTATCAGATGTGTTAATTCAATGGGAAAATGAACTTACCAAACATGTGTTTGGGTGACGTGGTATTCAGACATATGTCAAATAGTTTGTTCCCTTTGCCAAATCGAATTTGAAATTGTCTCCTTGCCTTTTAAAAATCAAATCTTAACATTTGCATGGTAATTTTCACATGATAGTCAACTTTCGTGTACGCCTTAACGTCCCCGGGCTTGAAAATCTCAAAGTTAATAAGTTTCTTTCATGAACAATAAGGGCATTCAGACGCCGCTACCAAGCTAAGAATTACCCATTTTTTTTTTTCAATTTATAAAAATACCATTTCAAATGCGACTGGTCTATATTCTAAGCATTGTAAATTTGAAAATAAAAACTAGTCTAGCACGTTCAGAACATTTCTACCATGTTAAGTGATTATTATTCTCATCTGAGGAATAAAAGTAGAGCATCGTACGAATTTATAATTACCGAAGAAACAGGGTCCGTCTGAACACAATGTAGAAAATAAGCCCTTTGAGAGCTTTCGCACAAGCGTACACAGCCGTCTTTGTGAACTGGGGTCTCAAGTTATTTAAAGAATACTTATGGCAACAGATCAGCCCTCTTGGAATTTCAGAGATTTCAACAAGATTTCAAACTCGGTTAATGGGATCTCAACACAACTGATGTTCCGGACTATTTAGATCAGGTTCTCTGTATTTGGCATTCATGACTAACTGTACACAATTCTTTAGTGCGGCGTTAAATTATGAAGTTAGTTTCAGCTTATCTCTGAAAAAAAAACAACAACAACAACAAAAAACAACGAAATATTGATCTGATGATTGTTAAGGTCGCAGTGAGATTTTTTATTAATTGTGGATGCGAGGAACAGAAGAAAAACTTTAACTTTGTAGTATTTAACAACTTTTTAACTCATGGGCCCGCTTGTTCTTCGTCTGCTTATTTTTCGCGTCTTTTCATAGATTTTCACAGCCACAAAACAACAATATCCCGTCTTTAAATGGCCTCGTGCATTCAAACCAAATCTCTTTCTTTGATTTGCATTACCTAAACTATCTTAATTCAATCGTAGAACGCTTATTAGACATATCTTATCTGACTTCCCTCTGATTGCAGTGTATTTTTCCCATCATATGTTCCGTAGGAGCTCGCCGAGCGAGGAAAAGCGTCATACGTATGCTAGTTGTTGTGGTAGTTCTGTTTACCGTTTGCTGGCTTCCATACCACGTGATGATGATGTACGATAACTTTGGTGGAAAAATGACGGGCACCGTCTTTCAGTTGATAATGTTTGGCTTTTGGTTAAGTTTTGCCAACAGTTGCTGTAACCCCATTGTTTACGCAGTATTGAACCGCAACTATCGAAAAGAGTTCGGTAGATTGCTAAGGTATGCATCAAATAATAAAGAGAAAAACAATTATATGAAACTAATCCACCTTTAGTCCTGATTATCGCTGTTTTCGCTATTCGGGATGAGCGCGGGCTCGCTGGTAATCATGCCTACCCCGCCATGAAATTTACACTCTTAGTTTTATACGTCTTTTAGATGAAAAAACAAAAAGGAAAAAAAAAATTCTTACAATGACAAAGGAAAGGTAAAAAGCAGCCTTTTGATTCGAAAGTAAGCCTTTTTGTCTCGAAAAAACGGCGGTTGGATTCTTGCTTTGGCTCAATGCAGGTTTTCCCTGTGTTCTTCCCTAGGTGTCAAGCACCTAAAGCCTACAGGAAGTCTGGCTCGCAACATGGTAAGAACAGACGATTTTCTTTGGAAACAAAAACAAGTTACAAGATAACCAAGCTATCTCTGAATAAAAAGAATAGTACCAACGAAGATCTTTCAATGGAAAACAAAGCCATGGCTAATAGCGTCCAAGGAAACAGTTCAAGCGGCAACTCAAGCCAAGGACCAAAAGATGAAAAACTGCCGGTATGTTTTGAGACAGGAATATGATCAATGTTGCAATTATTCTCACTGATGACCAACACTTCTCGGGATAACTGATGTTTTTTTGATCGTAGAAAAAACAACAGAGCAAGGTGAAGAAGACTAAACCCATTATGGTTTAAAGTCCATGCATGATAACAATAAAGTTGCATGTAAAAACAATGGATCCTCTGCGACACTCGCGGCCATCACAAAGACATTGGAGCGCGGTTTTTCTTTATTGCTTAATTTTATCGTCGAGCGAAAATCTCACTGCGAACCAAAGCAACACGTTTAGGGAAAAAAACGTTCATGTTAGCCCACGACGAGTTTCTTTAATTTGCAATCCTATTCAGGTTATGGCCCGATACAGATCTCAAGTCTGCTACTCAGAGGGAGCGAAATTTTGTCGCCCAATCAAGCACTGATTAATGAACTCACTGCACGCAGGAGTTAACAAAAAAAATTAACAGAAATTTTTGATAATGGTATTCATTTGCATCAGATAATGCTGGAAATTAACTGAATGCGACGATACAGACAATATAAAAGGAATCCCGTCAGTCACTTCAACCTGAACGATCGGTTGTACATGCAACCGGAAAGCTCAGTGTTAAAACTTATGAAATATCAACAGGTATGTCTGCTCTCCTCTTTCGATTATAAAGTCAGCTCATAGCCCAGTTTCGTTACACTTGTGAGCGGTCATGGAGTCTATAAAAGGCTAGAGACAATTTTGCAAATACTAAAAATATGTGCAATACAAAAATGATCAGTACTGAACTGAACGATCCGAGTAATTCACTGCATGTAAGTAGTAATCCTTTTGAAATTTCACGGGCATATGCCGAGATGGAAATGTAACAGTTTGCGTTAGAAAGTGAAGGAAATAGACCATGAGTGTCATTAAGAGATTAGAAACTGTTTACAATCTCTTGGCGTCAAGAAAAGTTTACCTCTGCGAATACGAGTCAAAATACCACTTGAAATTTCCCCCTTCAAATATGGACAAATCTTTCGCTTACTTTTAAAGCTGTGAGCTATGACCACTGGTTTAGCACCCTCTAAACAGAGTTTCATATTAACAGCAAGCTACGTAAATATTTAAGTCAATCGATAACCATTTGACGCGACCACGTAGAGGTTCTGATTTCAACATTGTGCCATTTAAGATGAACAAAGTGTTCATAAGTATCGAAGACATTCCATTTTACATAAAGCGAATTTCATACATGTACAACAACAACAGAAGGTTGGTTATATTTAAAGCTATGTCTAATTTGCATGAACTAAACAAGCTTTCTCCCTTCAACCGTTTTTACGAACTGAATGAGGAAATCTCTTTACTTTCTGAAGATGGGAGATCTTTTTCATTCTTTTTTCTTTCGGTTATACTCAAGAGCAAGAGGAAAATTAAGGGTTACAGGACAAGTTCAGCGAAATAAGTGTTAAATTTTACCGCACACGTGGTTGTAAATCAACGTGGAATTCTTATTGAGCTCAAGAATTCCACACTGAATCTTGTAAGGATCTTCTCGGAAAACAGGGCTGCTTTGTGAAGATCATACAACAAAATAGATCGGAATAAATTAACCTCACCTTGCCTGAGTGTGCTTTGTTGTTATTGTGATGTGAAGGAAACAGCGCAGCCCAGCCATTTTGAATTTTTGTCTCATCCTACGGTCTGGAACCTACTCAAGCCTCGTTATCGTCCTCGAGTAGTACTCGAAGACCCAAGGAAATTCCGAGTTTACATCGAGTCGCCTACTCAAGCACTAAGAATCGGTGGTCACATTATATTTTGTATGCCTTTCTCTATCACAAAACACTCTGTCTTATTTTGACGGACAAGATACGTGATTAAAAATCTGCTTTAAGTGGACCGCGGCCGTTCAAGTAAAAAAGAACCCTGTGCTTAGGATAAGTAAGGCGATTTCCCATCGTAAATTGGAAATCAGCTGTGGTGTAGACATCCCCACTCACAAACTCTCACTTCACTAAAATGAATAGACACATACAATAAAATATAAAAACCGATAGAAAATAAAGTACATTTTTCCCTAACCGCCTTACGAGCTTGCTATCTCGGAAGAAGCATAATCATCTATTGTTGTCATGATGGACTGAGGAAGTACGGTGCCAATTTCTTCTGTTTCTTGCTCTCTCTCGGGAGTGTGCTTTTGTTTCGGCCGGTACCAATTAAACTCTCGCTTAAAATATGCCAATTGCAGACAAGAAGTCTTTACGACAAAAGAACGAACAAACAATCAAATTTTAATGACTATTGTCCTGACAAATGATCTGAAATTCGTTATTATAACTTTAAAAGTGCCTTATGCTCTTGGTGGTTTTCATAGCCTGTAGTATATTTCTAAAGGATAAACATATCAGTGAAACGACAAAACTTGTGAATGAGTGAATGATGCAAGATAGAAGCAGTTCGGTTTCCCAAAAAGAGCTCAAGTATTTCATAAAAGAAATCAACCGTTTACCAAAACAATATTGATTGGAGCCTGAAGGTAACTATGAGCTAATTGCATTAACGGGGCGAATCATAAACAGGTTGTTTTTGTAAATAATGAGGAACAAATGATACGTAAACCAAGAACATTTGCACATTTAGAATACAAACAACAATAGCACATTCTCGGAAGTTAACGAATTTATTTCGTTTCTTAAGGCGTACATGTCAATTTAAATCAAATGAAGCGGTATTTTTTACCTCACCCGCATGAGCTTGAAATCAAGGTTAACTAAGAGACCACGGTCACGTGACTATCACGCGACTGAGAACAACGTATTTTACTAGCGTTTTCTAATGGTAACCTCGATTACAAGCCACAATTAGTTGCATTTCATGGGTGATGTGAAAATGCAAAGTTTCTTTTTATAACAAAGAAACGTGCAGTTTCGTACACTGCAAATAAATAGATCTCCAGCAATAGTCGTTGGGCTACAAAGCACAAATATAAGTTAAAATAAATTAATGTGTTCATTTATCATTAAAAAACATGCCCAATGAACTAACTGGAGGAACTAAAAATCATCTATCTTCAATTAATTTTTTTAAACAATTATTGATATTCCCTACAGTTATTATGGTTCTATTTCCGCTAAACCCGCTAATATATCAGTGTTACCAATAACTTTCTTCTCGTCTATCGTGAAATGCCCCAATGGTCAGAACAATCTCGTTTCTGGAGAAATTAAAAAGTCTGCGAAGCATGCATTCAACTACGTTTGACGTCTAATGAAACGTTGGCGTCTAGTTAAAGTTTATTCCATCCACGTTTTCAGCACCTACAACTATAAAATGAACTTCGCCAACCAGAGTTAATATTTAGTAAACTGATTAAACAAAACGAAAGAGTAACATACGGACCGCCTGAAGTATAACGTGGAGAATATGCAAACGAGGTTTTGACGCTAAATTTCTTTCGTCACGATATAAAAGAAGACACATTATGATCCCTTTCGATTAATTATTCTTACGACAAATTGCATTAAATTCAAAGGTCAACGATAAGGCATTGACCATTTACAGCGACGCTCTTAACTGATAATAATATATAAATCCATTGTCGCCTTTTATAAATTTACATGAAAAATATAAAAATATATACCACTGAAACATTGGACATGTCTGAGCAGTAACTAGAGCCGACACCTGTCTGGATACTGCTCTCTTCGGCCTGATGATCTTCGGGTCAACTTTATCTCAAATTGTATTTTATGAAATGAAAACATTAAATACTTAATACATTCTTCTATAAATATTAGCACCCTGCATGCCCCGAGGATATATACAGTATGAGCAAGGCAGGTAAATAGAGGAAACTTATGCTTTGGCTAATTCTCAATAGGGCGAGTTTCAGATATATCGTGGGATGTTAGGTGCTTTATGGTGAGGTTTGAAACAGCCTCCCAGATTTAAAATAAGCAACAAAAGGTGATTGAATAATTTTTAGGGAAAAAACCCTTGTTTGGTAAGTATCCCTCATTTAAAATGTCTGATCATTAGAGAGAACAACAAAAGAACTATGGCGTTAAGGATATTCAAAGCCTTGTAACCCGGTCATAAGCTCCAAAAGTATAGTTGCTGACCTTTGGGATGTCATATCTGACTGTCCCAGCCTAGCTCACCAAAAGAAAACAGGTTACCTGATGAAGTACTCTCGAGTGCTTCAGCGATTTTTTCGTAACCTTACGAGCATTTTCACGAAAGTTTGCTGGTTATGATACATGTTTCCTCATTAAAACCGATAAAGTGGCACACTGAAGGGTGCAGAACCTCTCAATTGGCTTGTAATGTAGTCCATGAATGTGCTGACATAAAAATCTATGCAGTAGCCGTTTCTCCTCTGTCTATTGATTTACAAATTTAGAAATATTGGTACAGGTATGTAACAACTGATACAGTACAAAATAAATTACGATCAAAGATCTTTACATCTTAAAAAAATTTTAACAGTTAACTAATGGTAATGATCGCCGCACCGTTCTGAAAGTAAAATATTTGATTAAATACTACCTAATGGAAGACACTAATTTGCTCCGTCTATGAGAATGTTGACTTGAAGGGCCAGGACCTGAAATAACGAGAAAAGAGTGTATTAGAAATGCCAACTGCAAAATCTTAATTGGTGCTTCTTATGTTTAGCACCTTAGTCGAGTTTTCGGTTAAGGAAGAAAATTTCTGAAATTATTTATCGTTAGAAACTGATACTTCTCATAACATGGTTTTCAGCAAGAATCTGATCAATTTCCAGTGTCTTGGAGCACAATCTCCTGGTAACAGAGTGGTTTAAAATCCAACAAACTGATTAAATCTGATGGTTTCCCTATCCAAAAGCAGGAAAAAGGAACCAAAGCAACAAACTGTATGTGATAGTTAAGGGAAAATACGCCTGCGGGAGCTTATAAAAGATAAAACAATGAACTCACTCTTAAAGCCTTCGTACTCCTCGTCACTGACGGGGGAAATTTCTCGCCCATCATATTGGTGACTACTAGATGACGTAAGCGCCGACGCATTTGCTTCAGTAGCAGGGTGAGTGCCTATTGGCATGCTCACACCAGTGATTCCCGTCAGGGGGCTGTGTGCGTGTCTCATTTGACCTCGAGAGTACATTCCTTGCATTAAATGAGTCCCACTGGGGGTAGATAAGCGTCGATGCGGTGTGTCATTCTGTAACAAGAAAAGGAAAAGATGAACATGACGGTCCCACTACTAACTTATACACTGGCTGAAACCACATTAATTGCTGATTACAATTTCCCTTGAGGAAGGCTACTGCAGGTTGTATTATTGATTATTAATTGAGAATTGTTTACAGCCTTAAGCTAACATCTCAATCAAACTTACTCTCAATGAATGTGTTGCTATTGATGTATTTGGCCTTGACGACTCTGTAACATTCCTTGCTCTGTCTTTAAAAGATTGCCTTGAAAAGTGGAAAAGAACTGTAAGGACAAATTACTCCTTTAGAAGATAAATTAGTTCACCTTGGGAAATGTGACTAGAGTAGCAAGACGCAAAAAATGATGCAGAGCTGCCACAAAAAGGTCGATTATCACGAGGAAAACAGACGAGCTCTGCATCCACTACATGTAACAATTATTCTCTCAGACACTGATGTATTACCTAGAATCATCTGTTGCGGCACTTGATGCACGTGACTGGCGGAACGAAACTTGTTTCTGAAAGAAAACGATCCACTACTTAGGAAATCCCTACATGATGTCACATTCACTTGGAAAATGCGATAAAATAACATAGAAATAAATTACTTACCGCGCTATTTCTTCCTCCGTTATGTTGAACAGGCGTCTCTCTGCTACTAAAACCATCTATCGGAGGGAGAACGAAGTTTCTTCCCCTAAAGAAAAAAAATGAGTTAAACTTTTTCGTATATTTCGTGACAATTGGTGTGGTCACGCGTTCTCGTTGAGTAGAAACTAGTTCTTTATCATCAGTACAATGCAACACTCTTACGGATACACCTCTCACCGATAACACTCCAAATGCCAAAGGTGTGGGACGTATCTGATTCTATACCTGAAGGCCTTTTTTATGAGAAATTACAATAATTTCTTTTGCTTTATCTTCTTGTGACTCATGACCGTAGACGGTGTACATCGGCGCAGTTAATATCATTTGAATGTGTAAAGAAAGTCTCATCAACAGCTTGCAAACTAATCATCCGCCCACTTACATGTAAGGCGCAGGAGAATTTGAATTCGTGGCTTGAGGCGGAGATGACAGTCTTTCTTTCTCTGGAAATCTGAAAAAAAGGACAGTATGAGTTCGATATTCGAGCCTCTTTCTTAGGGCCGATTCATGAGATCAAACGTTATAATTCTTAAGAAAAAAAACAACCTCGCATACAAACAAACTTACAATTTCCTTCCTTGCACGATACCGCCCATGACATCATCCTAAAAGGAACAAAAACATCAATAGAAAATTAGCATCATCTAACAAGCCAAAACAACATCAATAACGGATATAAAATGGACAAGGATAACCTGAGCTAAAGTTCAAGTGTTAATTTTTAACATGAAAGGGTCAGAAATAGTAGACATCGTTTGCTCAGAACCCTC